CCCAGTCCAATGTGAACTTTGTTAAACTATTTGGCATCTGTGGCCCTCTGTGTTTCATTTGTAGAATGTGCTCCTGAAGTCTTTTAGATGTGTTTTTGATATTTATTTACTTATTTATTACGGTACTGATAAGTCTTCATGCCACTGTACTACCCTATAGGAAGCAGACAATGATCCAACAGGGGAAGCAGCAGCTAATACCCAGCAGACACTTACTTTCTATGAGCTAGACCTTGGTTTAAATCATGTGGTCCGAAAATATAGCGAGCCTTTGGAGGAACATGGCAACTTCCTAATTACAGGTATTCTTGTAGAACTTCTTTACGTGGTCTATTCCATATCCAAATTTAATACGTTTTATTTAATGGTGTTTGGAAATTAATCCATTTCTTATAAATATGAATATTTTGTCTATGTTTTGTTAAGAGTTCATGTGGTAGAATGATAGTGTTGTTCTTTGAAAAGACATGAAATAGAATAGATTTGCTGGGCATGGTGGCACAAATGTAGTATTTGGGAGACTGAGGCAGGACAATCACTGAGTTTGAAAATCATTGTGAGCCTAGTGTGGGCTGAATAGTGAAGTTAAGGCCAGCCTGAACCCTGTCCCCCCCAAAAAAAGACATAAATCTAACAAGATAAAAATGTGTTTATAAACTAGAAAACTTAGAAGAAATAGTATTTTGAAAACCATTATCCTGGCAAGCACAAGGGCTTGAGTTCAATCCCTCGTTTTGCCAAAAGAAAAAAAAAAATTACCAAAATTGACCAAAAAAATTTAAAATCCTGAATAGACTGTTATCTATCAAAGAAAGAGGAGCAGTAGTCAAAGTTAGCTCAGGTGTTTAAGTGGCTGCTGAAACAAAGCAGTCAGGCTCAGGATGCTATGGTTCAATCCCCTCATCTTCAAGCCAAAACCAGACCTGCCCTGAAGGTATCCTGAGTGGGGCCCCCCCGCAAAAAATCCTTTTTTTTCCCCCCCATAGAACTGGGGATTGAACTCAGTCCCTTGCACTTGCCAGGCAAGCACTTATTCTATGAGCTATCTCCCCAACCCCCCAAATTTTCTCTTCCAAAAGATTTATGTTCCATGATTTTTTAAAATTTATTTTATTTTATTGGGAAACAAATTATCAGTGAGTCACTTTCCAAGCTGATTAATAGGACATTTTCAATAATTAATGCAAATTCTTTTTTTTTTTTTTTTTCTCTCGGTAGTGGGAATTGAACTTGGGACCTTGTGCACGCCAGGCAGGCATTTATGCTGCTGAGCTGTCACACCGGCCCGATGGTCCATGATTTTCAGGGAAATTTTATTGTTGAATTTCTCTAAAGGATAGATAGTAAAAGCTTTTCAAAGAATAAAGCTACCACTTTAAATATGTTCATCATATTAAAAGGCTGAAGGAGGACAGAACTGTATTTGTAATCATCTGCATTTCAACAGGCTTGGGAAAGAGTGATCTAGTATTTTCTTTTTGGTACTAGGAATAACTTGGCAGACAGGTGCTATACTGTTGAGCTATATCCCTGGCCATGATCAAAACTCAGTTTTGAAACTGAGTTGCACTTAAGTTGTCCACAGTGAAGTACTATATGTCTGTTGTGACAGGATTTTGGAAAATAAGAGGATTTTTTTTCACCCAATACTGAAGATTGAACTCAGGAGCCTACTACCTGTTAGGCAAGTGCTTACCAAAGCTATACTCTCAGCTTTTCTTTCTTTTTTTTTTTTTTTTACAAGGTCTTGTTACGTTTTTCAGGCTGGCTTCAGACTCAGGGTGATCCTCCTTGCCTCAGCCTCCCAAATACTGGGATTATATCTGTGTGTCACCAAGCCTGGCTTTTTGAGTTTAGTGGTCTTGTCTTCTCTTTTCTTTTCCTTCTTTTTTTTTTTTTCTTTTTAGGTAGGGTCTTACTGGGTAGTCCACAGTTGTCTTGAACTCACTATGTAGCCCAGGCCTCCATGAACTTGCTATAGTTTTTTTATTTAGCCTCCTGAATTCTCCCAGTTTTTTAAATTTTATTTTATTTTGAGATAGAATCTTGCTAAATTGCCCTGACTGGCCCAAACACGAATCCTCTCTCAGCCACCCAAGAACTATAATGATGGAGTTATGCCACTATGCCTGTGAGATGTATTTGTCTTAAGTGTTAAATTTTATTTTTAT